TGAGCACAAGTTCTCGAAGTCCAAGTAGATTTCCAGTAGCAGGCACAGTCGGGTTCGACAGAATTACTATTACGACTACCAACATTCCGGAGTGCATTCACTAAACAAGACTATGTACTTAGGCTCCCGTGGCTACTTATATATGGGCGACTATTGTCCGAATAATATTTGTCTACTTGACAGCTGGGGTGGGGTAGAACGATGTTGTCACTTACTCGGGCGGCCGACCCGTGGTTGTGGTTACATCAGAACAAAACAGTAGCAGTAGTAACAAGAAACAAATCGCAATAAGAGTACACAACAGTAAATGACACCGAACCGCATAACCAATCTAGTGGTACTAAAACAGTATGCATTTTGTCGTCGTTAGTAATGGTTATGTAATATTATTTATACCTCAATTTCTCTCCGAATTATTTTTTGTAAAACTCGTTTGAAAGTAAAATATTTAAAAATAGATAAATAATACGATACTGATAGTGTTGGAAAGCAAACAGATCGAAAAATATGTAATACTAATTATTCAACATTTTGCTACTGAAATATTCTAAACGTACGAAGGGCATCAGAAAGTAGAACCTGTTTTGGAATAAGAAAACACTAGTACATTTGAACAAATATTAATGATGTATTTGCAAAGAACATACTTGAAACTACTTCTCCACGTACTCACATCTCAAATTTAAGAATTTGTCGTTACGTGTGTCGAGTTTTTGTATCCCAGCTCCGTACTCCGCTGCCACCAGTGTATTGAGATATGTAGTCACAGTTGCTTTCATTTCTTCATCACTTTCAAATTTCTTTCGTGCCAAAAAGTCCTTGAGCTTTGTAAACTGACGAAAATCTGAGGGAGGCATGTCTGGGCTGTGGGGTGGATGGTTGAAACTTTTCCATTTGAATTATTGCCCAAGTTGTTCGGTTATCCGAGCCGTATCAGGCCTGGGGTGGTTTTGTGTTCGTCAGTAAGCAAGCGATGGAACCACCTTGCACAAATCTTTGCGTAACGGTGGTCCTTAACAATTTCATGAATAACTGTTCATGAAATATTGCGAAACTTTTCACTGATTTCAATTGTCACGTGCCGATCGGTCCTCACGATTTCGTTAATTGAACTCCGCAGTTCGACCGTAATGACTGACGGCCGTCCAGAACTCTGGTCATCATGGGTGTTCTCTCAGCCCAAGTTGAAATTACGACACCAACGCCGAACAGATGACTCATCCATAACAGTCTCCTTACACCTCCTTCAGTTGACGATGAATATCGCTAGGTTTCACATTTCTTGCATTGAGAAATATAATCACAGCCCTAATTTCACAACAGGCGGCGTTCTCTATTTTCTTGAACATTATAAACACTCACAGAAGGAATACAGTCAATACCAGAGAGCTCTAACTTTGCACACAGATAGCTGATATGTGTTGGAACTAGTCCAGCGGCTTCTTTACTCACCAGCGCTCCACAGAGTACAAACGGATACTACACTCCGGACGTCCTACGTATATGAAATTATTCGTTTTATTTCCGCGAACGAAAAGCAATCGGCGCTATCGTGTTATCTGTGCAGCGTTACAACAATGGGTAATAACAACCAACAATGACCGCTCATCTATTCGTTTTCACATTTTACGCAGTTAAAGGACGCAATTTAAAATAAATTAACTTAATATATAATACATAATAATAAAATGAAATAACATACAAATTATAACTTACGTAGCATCCAACTGCATAAATTGGGAGCGGCTGACTGATGGTTTGCGATCTTGATTTCATATTTATTTCAAATAGGTTTTAAATAGTTTCTAAAAGATTAATTTGTAGTAATATAGCAACAGCTCCAATAGACGAACGAATAAATATGAAATAAACATTCTAACATACGTAGCCTCCAACTGCCTCAAAACACCTAAATTTACGGTCAAGGAGCACAGTATTTTCTATGACGCTCAATTACTACAAAAATACTCATCGTTTCGAAAAATTCAACGAGATCTTATTTGAAAATCTGTTTTTGATGAACACATTTCATTGAGAAAAAAATCGTATCTTCATAATTATAGTTGTAGGAAGACGCCGGAAAAAGTTTGAATTTTTTCAATTGTCGAATAATCAGGGTTTTCAACCAACATGAGACACGCACCATTTTCTTAAATATCCTTCAGACTTCCCACCAACAACATTTCATCAAAAACGATGGAGTCGTTTTTGAGAAAAAATTGTTAAAACAAAAATTAAAAATGGCCTAAATTTCTTGCAACATTAAGCGAAAAATTCTCAAATTTTCGAAAAATTGTACATGATTGTATTTAAACATCTATCTTAAGGAACTGATTTTATTCAGGTGAAAAATTGTATCTTTAATATTTTAGTTGTGGGAAGACGCCAACAAAATTTGACTTGTTTAAATTTTTGAAAACTCAGAGTTTTTAACGAATATGTGACCTGCGCCATTATCTTAGACGTCCTTCAGACTATCTAATAACAAAATTTAAATCAAAATCGATGGCAACATGGGATTTTTTGAAAATTTTGAAGATGTCCTTGGGCTTCATGTAAAGTGGACTACGGAAGAATATATTGAACAGATTTCTAAAAAAATTAGTGGGAAATATTTCTTTTGCCGTTATTTCCCTTTGAGATGATAATCAACTACTAAAAACAGTAATGTTTTTGCACCACTAGCTTCTCTAATGCTTACATTAATTTTTAATTTTTATAACAACATTGGACAAATATCTTCCGTTTTTTTAATTTCCTTCTTAATGACGTCTTATTCCAAATATTCTACTCCAGCCTCTAGTTTCCCGCTGCTGGAGCTTCTCCGAATGCCCTCTGGCGTCACGAACTGCACGTCATGTAATCGCGAAGGTCCGCACGTAAGTCGCTCGAAATGACCCCGGGGATGAAAGAATCAGCTAACTCATCCCACGGTGCAGACTCATCTAGTGGATAAGCGAACACACAAAAGCAAGGAAGATCTTGTGGAAAACGACATACATATGAAATATGTAAGCTGAGTTTAATGTTACATTATCGTTTAGAAAACAACTTTTATAAAATCTATTTTCTTTTTACTCGAAATGTAATTTTAAAGGGAATTTGAATTATTCGTTATTAACGTTTGACAGGGAGTGACACTTATCTGACAGAGATAGCATTCTCTTCCAAATTGAAAGAAAAATCAATAAAACATGATAACAAACTGTAAACGGATTAAAGGGGTCGTGCTGATTGCACCAGCCCGACACAGTGAGTGTGTCTTTCGGAGCTTTTCATGTTCTGTAAGGAGATTGACGGGGCGGAATAGGGTTCCCTAAACGCTAGGCAGAAGGATAATTAAAGAGTTAAAAACACAAAACTCATCTTCATTGATATCTGTTTCTAAATTGTATTTAAGATTAATCATTACATCCATAAAATGGTATATGTGGCTAATTGCTATTTGGTTTGGTTTGCTTTGGTAATGGCTATTTGCAAATTAACATGTTGTTCTTATGTTCCAAAGAGATCTTTGAAGCAAAGACATTATTGCTTACTTGCTTAAAATCTTATGTTTGTCGGTTTTATATCATTGCTCAAAATATTATTTTGCTTTTCGGTGACATAACAAGGTCCGGAAACATGTACGTTTCATCACGCACAAAACTTGGGAGAGAGCTAGGAGGTTGACCCGCTTCCGAAATAAAAAAAAAAACCTTCACAACGCTGCGCCATCAGTTGAAGGCATTATCTTTTTAGTAGTAGCAAACCAAATTATTTTGGTACTTACAGTCGTAAATAAATAATTTCAGGTGTTTTCATATCTCGTTGCGAAGAAGTGTTAGAATTTCATGACTCTTTTGGCGTGAAATCTTTGATCAATTGATCAAATGTTCACATGTTTAACTTGTGCAGAAAGAGAATTCACGCTGCGGCTGTCTCGAGCAATTTTTAGCGTACTTCCGCTTCCCGTCCCCGTCTGCGAAAATGTTGGGACCTACTTCTAAAGCTTGTAGATGAATGGAGAGGTTGAATTGCGCATATTTAAGTAGAAATAACTTTACTAGAATTTCCTAAAAGGAAGTGAGTGAAGATGAGCCGTGATTCTATTTTGAAGTAAAATGCATTGGAAAGTTTGTGTCGACTGGACTAAAAGCTGTTTCATGCTAAACACGGAGGGACAAGGCCGGTTGCTCGTCACGACTGCAATGCAAATGTGAGCGTGTATTGGCCGTATCTAATGTGCGATTGATTTCTAAAGCTAACTTCAGCTATAACAAGTGCAACTTTTTGAATTACCCATTGCAGTGTGCATTACACTCCAGTGTCGATTTAATTGTTTGCGTTAGCTGAGGTCTGATCGACGAGCTGCATTTAGAATGTCAGGAGGAAAACAAACGTCGCCGAGACCACTTCCTCCCTCCCCCTCCCCCTCCTCATTCCCCTTCCTCTCCTCATTCCCCTCCCCCTCCTCTTTCTCTCTGCGGTGGTCTTCTCTACCCAACACGCCTACAGAACGGAGCTTGAATTATAGCACCTGTTGCAGGGGGCAACCCGTTTCGCTGTCATGCAATTTAGAGCCATTCTTTTCAGCTTGGCGGCTGTAGCAATTTGGTCAATAAAGACACCCACGTCCCCGTACCGCCCCATCCACGCTCCAGTCTCCGCTCCCGCTACTCCACCACAGCCCACCCTCTTGCTGCCCCCCCCCTCGCCACTCTGACCGCTCCCGCCACCCGTCCCATCCCAACGGTGGTCCTCTGCCCCACCCACCGCCTAACACGAGCCTCCGGCTCTGTCACTCATCCCCGCGCTGGCCTTCCCCACCCGCTTCGCCCCGCTCACTTCCCCTTTCCACCCCGCCGCCGGCCCGCTTTTGTCCAACACCGCCGGTCCTTTTTCGGAGCATCCGCGGCCGAGTTCCGGCCGCGGGCGGCTGCGTGGCGTCACGCGCCTCGCGTCTTCGCGTACTCGCAGTGTGCTGCATCGAGGTGGCATTCCACATCGTTGGCAGATGAGCGGAACGCCGAAGCAGCCCGGACGCAGCGCAGCGGCGCCCGGGGCCGCTTGCGTGGCCTTTCGGAAGGGATCTTACTCGGGGCGCGTCGTGCGGACGTGTGCGGTTGCCGACTTCCTCCTCCTCCTCCTCCTCCTCCTCCTCCTCCTCCTCCTTTCCCTCCGTCGTGGGCGCCGCCGTGCGCCGCGCCTCGGACGCAACTGTGTGTGTGTATGCGCGCAAGCGCGATGCAGTGCGACGTGGGCTTCGATCAGTGGCGCCCGGCCGCGTTGACGTCCGTAGTGCTTGGGTGTCGCGACGCTTTGCGGGGTACCTAAAGCGACGTGCGGTCGCTGTGGCCTGGGAGAGTTAGTTGGTGTGTTCTGTCGAGTGAAGGCAACGCCAACGACGGTGTCAGGATGTCAATATATTCCGAAGCAGGTACGTGTTTCCCAGACTGTCAACAAGGCGAGGGGTGTGCGAATTCTTGTGACTTGTGCCTGTCAGGTGGAGAACTTGGAACTATTTGTTATGTGGAAGAGTAGACTCGTTATTAGATATCTCGCTTGTGTCTACCGACGCACTTTTTGCGCAGAATGTAACAGAGTAATCGTACGCTTTGAAAATATATCTGTCGGTGCTGGGAATTTGTGCTGCATTGGCTGGTGATTTAGTGTCCTATACATTAGCGAACAAAAATAACATTGACTATTCGTAATCAATACCATTTGCCATGTGGGTTGATTAAAGTTTCCTTTTTTTTTCCTTTTTTTTCTTCAATTTTCTAAAAAAATCTCGCATTAGGGAATGATATTGATCCTGAAAATGGGAATTAATGTTCCCAATTATGTCTTCAAAAATGTGACATATATGATGTGTTGGGTCTAATTCAGTCTGGCAAAAGGATGTGTACGTTCAATTGGAAACACTTCTGCCACTTTATAAGATAACTTTCGGCAACGGAGATTTCGACATCGATGTGTCTTTATCACAAGTGTTTAATAGAATTTGTTCCAGTTAAATATTACGAATATTAAGGTTTGTAACTTTTAGAAATAAAGAATGTTTGTTTCTCTTAATACCACAGTCGCTAAAGTGTTCATAGTCACGGCAGTTTTCGCGCAATTACTGGTACCTACCTACGTATTTGAATGTCTAGTTTTCTGCAGAGATGGAACATTATAGAATGGATTGGTATTGTATGTTAACAACTGTTTGTGAATACCTGTGTATTCAATGTAAAATGCTTTTTAATATTTCATTAGTTGATTTCATGTTATTGACTTCATTTCAATCCTATTTCTACGATTCTTAATACCAGAACGGCTATGCGTTGTATATTTGTATTTTGGGTTTGTGCTGGAATATTGTTATCAAATTAATGCATCACTATCTCACAAAAGGAGACAACGATGAAATTTATAATGGAGGATGGTAAATGTAATTATATTTTTATATGAGTTTGTTAATTATTTTTTTAGGCAAAGACGTATACAAATGGGAAGGAAGTAAAAGGGCTACCAACTCCCCCGTCGATTGGTAGAGAAAATAACAAGGAAAATATCTGTCAGGTTGATTTATGTAAAAAGAAAATTAATAATAGCCCTCATTAGCTTTCGATGGTATACATTTTTTCTAAATCCTTCTTGCACTGTTGGTACGCCCTGTTGAGCTGTGTTAAATCGCTAGCTTGACGTCACGTCACACGAGTTCTACAGGGCGCGTCTGGCAACTCCGGTAGAAACCCTCTGCTCAATGACGTCACTCGTCAATGCGCGATTTCCTCGTGTAATCGATCCCCTCTGGAGAGATAAGCGCTCTCTGATCCCCCGTGAGGGCATACACTCGCAGGTGGCGAACATTTCTCCCGGGTTTTCTCGTATACATGTTATTTGTATTGTCAACGTCCCCATTTTCTCATAGAATTCTGAGTCTACCACAATAAGTGAAGTAACAGAGGATAGGATTTCTTACCGATTTCAACGATTTGTTCTCTAACTTTACAATAAAACATTTTGTTTTACTGAATCTTTCAATTAAAACTTGCTTTATACATGCGTAGTTGCCACGGTCGCCATGCGAGCACACAAGCCTCGCGATAATGTCAGCGCTGAAGTTCAGAAAGACAGTGTGTTTGTTGTTCTCCACTCAACTCTAAACTGTGTGACTCAGAATAAATGCTACAATGTTCTATGCAGCGAGGTCGAAAATTAGTAACTTTTTTGCCCATAAACATTTTTTTCATCAGCACAATTTACAATCTGTTCTGGAAGAACATTTAGAAAATAACACAAATAATGTGGAATAACACAATTATCATTATTACATATACTTTATGGTTACATTTAAAGTGGTTTTGTCGAATTATCGATACAAGAACCCATTTGACAGTTCATATATATATTCCTGTAGTACATGTGCTTATTGTCCAGTAGATAAATTAATAGGTGATTTGTGTTCACTTAGTTTCTTTAAATACTCCTGGCTTCTTTTTGTAATGACGTCCGCAATAGATGAGAGGTTTAGTTCTTTATAATGTGTTTTGTTAGTAACGAAGCACGGTGTTCCGGATAACTTTCTTGGTGTTTTTGTTTCGAATCTTCTGAGAATCTCAATGTTCGATTCACTGGTAAAACTCCATAGTGCTATACCATACGTGTACCAAAATGGGTTTTATGACATCACTTTGTTAAACAGAGATAGCTGTGACCTTCTCTTGAGGAGCCATGTCAATTTTCGTTCATTTAGTAGTGCCTCTTTTCGTCTTGCAATGATATGAGTTTCCATGACAAGTGGTTGTCCAAGTGCAATCCAAGATATTTGACAGTTGCAGCCTCAGGGCGTTCTGTGTTATTAATGATAACTTTCCAACACTGCTTGCCAATAAACATGTGGGAAAATTTGATTCGGGTATAATGGAGTTACACATGTGACATTTACCTCCTGAATGTGAGGCTATTTCTAATGCACGGCTGTTCGGCAGGTCACGTTCTGACGTAATCAAGATAATTTCACGTATTTAATTGGCTGTATTAAGTTGACAGCCAATTAAATACTGACTACGGTCGCGGAAGCCTACACTCTCACATGATTTCATGTAGCTGCCAAACACCTAACCGTACGGGATCGCCTATCAACCAGGGGCAAATGTATATGAAATTTTCTCTTCACATGTTCATTGGCAATCATTTTCTACTCCTCTATATGCCCCAAAAGTAACAGTTATTCTGAGATATCCATTAAAGGATAGTTCAGAATATGACTCACAATAAGTGTTACAAACTTGTGTGAGATATTTAAGGGAGTCGAAGATGCTAATGGACATATGGTGTTAAATCTCGTATAACAAAGTTACACAAGTGACATACCTGACATCTAACCCCGAATTGATGGACACTGATATCCGTGCACTGATCTAAACAACAAAGAAATATTTGTTTAACGGAAGGCTATATTCGAAATATTTACGCACAAAATCCAATCCTTGTGATACAAATTAATATACGAGCTATAATAAGTCCAAAGAGTTGGGATATGATGAAAATAGTAAATTTTACTTCTAAACACTATTGAAAGTTATTATTGAAACAAATTACTGAAAAATTGCTTGAGAATAATATGAGAAATGCTTTGTTTCCATGAGTAATTTTCGTGTAGAGATCGTATAGAGGTCATTTGGCTCACGTCTTTTGGCCTTTCAGTGCAACATATTGAAACACAAGACTTCATTCAATCCGTTCAAAGGCTTCTTCGCCTTGCAGAAGAGAACAGAATAGTTCGAAAACTGTTATCAAAACTGGATTTTTCATTTTATCCCATTTTTTAGTGACCGCCGATTTGGGTTCTAAATTCATCCCAAGAACTAGGCAACCCTACCAAAACTCAACATTTCTGTGTGGTATTTAGGAACCATTGGTCAATATTTTTGAATAGGATACCCTTTGGCAAACACTAGCAAACATTCTTTGGCTCACGCCTCTATCATCTTTTGCTATACTGTTTCGACTTGAATTCGTTTCATCAGCTTGGGAGGTGTTGAGATCAGCCACATGGCTGACAGTAGTGGGGAGATTTTGGAAAGCTTGGGATCGAGATCATCAGCACTTAGTTACTTTTGTTGTATCTTTAAAGTCTAATTCATTGAGAAAAGTGGGATAATATGAAATGAACAAATTCCCTTGAATATTCGCATAGTCCCAAATGAAGAAACTAACAACAAATGTCACAAAAATAAAACGATAAAATTGAACGGCACCAAGAAAAAGTCACCGAAAGTAGAGTCTGGATTAAACTACCTTGTCCTGGTAAGGGATCGACCATCAATGTTGTACTAAAATATATTTCGAATCGTCTGAAATAATTATATGAGATACTTGAATAAATTAGTTCTCGTAAAAACCGAACCTGAATTTCGTCATTGGTTATTATTTCTGAGTAACACTTGTTTTAAGTTTTTATGTCCCCGAGAACAGCTTCAGACCTGAATGTTTCTAACATTTTTCTTTTTTTTTCTGTTTGTCATCAAATATTTAATTTTCATATTTGTAAATAAAAGAATACATAAACTATATAGTAATGCACTATTCTTCTAGGTATTTAAAATTTAATTTGATTTGCTAGTAATGATATTTTATTGAGATACATTTTATTTCACCTTCCGTCTGAATAAATTTCCTATGATTTTCAAGTAAATATCACAAGCATTTTAATAAAAAACTAACAGCATTTCGGAGCTCCGCTATGCGTCTCCCTTAGAGTAAGTTTCTCTCGACGAACACAATGCATGTCCGGTCTCCTGTTATCTGTAAAATTTCCCCTCGAGTCGCGTTCTATGTTAACCAGGAAAATTCCCTTGTTATGTTTTTCCTTGGTATTAGAACTGTCGCCTACTTCAATAATAAAATTATTTCATAAATTTCTTAAAACGATGTTGCCGTTGGCACTCCCTTAACGAAACTATATAATTAGAATTACGTACGGTTTGCTTAGCTATTAAGGCCCATTCACAATACAAACGTAAACATAAACATAACACATAGCCGTAAACATTAACATACGAGATAGACTGAAGTATTCACAATGACTGACATAAACGTAAGCAAAATAAGAGTTTCTATTGGCTCTGAGACATTCTAGTTTACTATTGGTTAGATGTGGATTGGTTAGATTTATCGAAGGTATCGACTGTGTCCTTGGCGAATATGGCGCTAGTTCTATCGACTTAAATCCAATTTCGATTCTCGATTTTGAGTTACCGTTCTGTGATTGGTTCATTTCTTATGTCTTACTGAGCATAGGCACAAAGACTTGAAGCTTGCTAGCTTTTCAGTTAACGTCTTACGTGTTATGCTTATGCGAACACATTGCAAATGAGTCCGCTTATGGCCGTAGTCCTAACTTTTATGTTAACGCCAAGCTTATGTTTATGTTTGCATTGTGAATGGGCCTTTACTCCTCCTGTTTGTACAAATAGTTTGATTATGAATTCTCTTGTTCTAGGGTTGTGTCCTGCACTAGCCTTCCACAGAGAACACATGTCGGACTGGAGTGGAAACTCTGGTAGACATTACGCATACAACAAAGCCCACAACACGAACAGTGGGGCCTGTCTCTTGTCTCGAGGATATCCTTTTGAGGTGAGTTCCATCATCGAGCGCACATTTGCGTAAAGATTAGATTACACCTGTTGCGCCATGGTTTTACTGCATATATTACAGTATTATCGCCTGATAATTACTTGGAAGGTACTTCAAGTTTTTTTATGTTTAGATATGTGGAAACAGTATATCTTTTCTTTTTACTTACGAGTTTCATACCTTTCGAAAATATGTACCTGGTAGTTTATTCGAACTGAAAATATTTCCCTGACTGATGTGATAGACCCCGTGCTTAATGAGCACTTAGAATTTGCGATGCATCTGCAATTCAAGAGAGATCGGGGTATCGAACAATTCCCTTCCTTCCAGTAAAAACAACTTGCCAAACATCATTAAGATTTTGTTTTGTATTAAATAAATGAATAAGTAAATAATAAGCATATATATATATGCTAGTAACAGATGATTTAAACTATTTAAATAGTTAAATAATTATAAATAATTTTACGGTTATATCAATTGGTAAAACTAAGTTAACCTTTGATGTTTTATTGTAGATTATAATATAAACAGGTAATACATTGCTGTGTATACAGTTAATACAAATATGTTTTGAATGTTCTGTTTTAATAATCTTGGATTATAATCATTTTTATATCTCTTTAAATATAATTACACTTCAATTGCCCAAACGAAATAAATATGTGAAGTAAAAGTCTTCATTTACAGGCCTGATGACATCAAGGGTCAGAAAATAAATACATTTTTAAAATGCCGTTAAACACGCAATTAATCATATTTAAGTGTATATAATGTGAACTTTTCTACTAAGGTATGTGAAGGTAGTATGGCCACGTTAAGCGCCTCAAATTTTCCTGGTTATATATTTCAATATTTGGTCAAATTAACAGCATCATGATGAAATTTAAAACTTTTGCTTCAAGTTGAAATATCTATGCCACAAAAATGTGTTTCAGAATTATTTTGTTATTTTAAGTAATGTAAAGGTAATATGCCCACATACAGGTTTTATGGCCATTGCCAGATTAGCTAGTTTCTTGTTGAATTATTATGGAGTGAGGGCTAGATATACTAATATACAATATGAATTACTTTCTTAAGTATAATTTTACAAATATACGGCCTGATATGATTTTAATAACGCAATAATTTCTGGGTTATTCATAACAAATAAAGTCTTTTTTACGATGAGACTTTATTATACAAAATTGAAAACTCACAAAAATAAAAAAATAAAATGGTTAAATCAGTTTCACATTGAGATCAAATGAGTTTCTTTGTCTTGAATAGTTGGTCCTACACTCTTGGCCATATTGACTGCAAAAACATGTTACAAAATCTCTTTCACACTGGTAAAATATTGAGCAAATTTAACGGCATTAATCTGATTAGATTATTCATTATATGCCCCAAACGATGATTATACAGTCAAAACACTAAATCCTCCTTCAAGTGTCTCTAATGATAAAATTACCTGGAAAGAAGTTATAGGGACAGAGCGCCTTTGGCACGTTCTTGACAATAGAGACTCCAGAGTGCGAATGCGATAATCAAGTCTGGTAGGGGGCTAACGCACTTTTTACGCTCTTCCAGACAGCATGCTAGTACTATCTGTGGTAAACATTTTCGGCTAACAACATAGCCGCTACTTGGCCATATTACCTGCACTGGCAATATTTGCGTCACTTACCTTACCATGAGTAGTAATTAATAAATTAATGGAAGTCAATGATGTAATAATATCAATATATAAATTGCTTCCAAGTTAAGGTTGCTATATTTTTTAGAGAACAAACGCGTTCGTTAGAAATCAACTTCAACCGCAGTGTGGATAATTTTCTTGTCACTAATAATGTACCGAGTTTTGTTTTTCTCCTTTAATCATTCTAAACTCCCCCACAGTTGCGAAGCTTGCGATTTTCTTTTCATTTTTTTTCATTCACATTAATGTTGACTTTGCCCAATCAGCATGAGTAGTTAGATTTTTAATTTTTGTTTCATACTCTTACTGCGTTTATTTATTTATCAGCTTTAAAGCCATCACGTGAAGTCTTCAAGAAGTTCCCTGCTTCGTTTGGGTGAAAAATCTGGTAGGTCACTGCACTCTGTAGTTAGCATTTAATGACTCTGTGCATGTTGCCGTCGCTGGCCATTTCCTTTTAGTTTCCCGTACCTGTAGCTTTTCCGCACGCTTATAGATTTTCATCCGTAGACTAACCACACTGCGACATTCTGTTTTGTGCACTTGTGAAATAAATTCACTAATTGAAAGAAAAGTGTGTGTAAAATTATCATACGTGTAATGACATTGAAGGAAGTATTTTGGTAATTTAGATTCTTTTAAAAGAAATATCAATGGCTTTGTCAATGGATTTTTTTTAAAATTTCATGTAATAATCATTTAGCATTCTATGTTTGACGTATAAACGCATTTTTTTGCATCAAAACATGCTGTAGTTTAATGTATAAACGTAAGTTAAAAAAATGACATCAAAATACCTTTTCAAATTTATAGCTTGTGGACTTTTATAGGAAGAGTAAGTAAAACAAGAATTTTGGCCCCAGAAAGGCAGAATTGAATAACTGAAATCTCGAACACTTTTCTTTAGAAGAAACCTTAGTTGTTAGCGAGAAATGTCATCTTCGAAAATAAATTCTTCGTTCATCGGGAAGTCAAGAATCACAAACTCTGTCACACTTCTAATATGTGAAATAAATTTAGGTAACAAAATGTAATATTGGATGAGAAAAAGAAACGTGGTTTTGAGTTGACTGAAAGCCACAGTTTGTAGCGTAATAATTTACAAAGAAATTGTTGTAATTGGCCAGCAAACACGATATGTGAAATGAATTTATCAAGTTGGTAGCATGCAGGAGGGACTGTAGAGTAGATGATAAATGCATGCATCCAGTTGTTACCCTGCCTGCTCAAATGATTTGGTCAAGAAATGTGGCAGAAGTCTTCTTTTAAGAAGTCATGTGGACACTAGAAGCACGCGTCATTACTTACAAATTTGTATTGTCTTGTGACTAACGTTTGTCATTTCAGGAGATCTTTTCGAATTATTTTCCTTAATTTTTCTTATTTGGGCTGAATGTTATTACATATAGCATGCTATAGACGACTTAGATATAAACTTGTTGGGAACTTGACGAGTGCTCTTAGCAACAAATTTGAAACTTCAAAGTTAATGTGGTTTTCTTCGTGTACGTTCAAATCAGTGCCATGGGAGACTGCAATGTGGGAAAAACGCATGTATTCTTCATTGAAGATACTTCGTATGATAATGCATGTAAGAACATCTTCGAAGACTATTTTTGCTTCGCTTCCCGAGAGGTATCTTGTCACTTTGCGGAAAGAGTTCAGGATGAATAACGTAGAGCCCAGAGCACGGCGTTCGTTGGCTGCAAAAATAGAACAAAGCATGTGGGACGCTGCGCTTCGGAGAATACAATTCTGGAGTTGTATATTTGAGAATAGTTGCCCGTTGAAATTCTAAAAAGCCTTCCTTTTGGAATTCAGATTTTGAAATTAAGAAAACAAATTATATTATAAAGAGTAAAAGTATTTTGTAAAACATTCGCCCTGAGATAAGTTTTTTTATTTATTTCTCTCTGCTTTTACACTATTATCAACGCCGAATTTATATTGTATGTTCAAAATAATATAGTACGCTATGTCTTTTGGTGATTAGAGGTTTTGCTGTGTGTGAAAATTTCCGTGCATTACAAAATCCTTGGATTAAGGTTTTGTCAGTTCTAATATAGTAAGATAAACGTATGAAAATAATCACGAAGAAACTCTGTTACAAACGTAGTATGCGGTGGTAGAAAATACATTTTGAAAACACAAATAACAGTCAGTTGTAAGCTATGGACGGTTCTTGTGAGTGTTTAATGGGAACAAAAACTTAGGATTCTTGACAGTTTTGCGCAATCCTTGTTGCGTGTTCAGGCGAGCGCGAGCGTTTGTGGCCACAACTGTGCGGGTAAAACTGACACTACGAAATTAGACGGCTTCTCGTTCTCTTTCGAATTCTGTTCGTGGTTGCCAGTTTCATCAAGGTCTGTGCGCGTAACACTGTACCAAGTCCGGTCCTCTTCAAGGCGAGTACTGAATCGCCCGATTGCAACCCGCTGTCAGGTTTCCCTCTCACCCACTTCCATGTAAATATCACTTTTGTCTACTCAGGAGACATAGCCCGTTTGCATATCAACAAGCGTTGTGGGACGGGGGCACGGGGAAGGAGGTAACAATATAATTAAGTTCCCATTTAGGAGTGTCGCAAATTCTCGTACCAGTCGAGAGAAAACCTCCTACACAGGTGAACGTGGCAGAATCTTCGGAACTGAGTATACATTCTGAAATCTAATTCTGTATATTTTTAGGGAAGGCTGGAACCACCTTTTCCCTTCTCTTTGGAAAAGCCCATGGTATGCGAAGAAATCTGTTTCAGTAATTTAAGAACATTCGATACAGTTGAATTCCAAAATAACAAGCTTTCTTTACTCTATCTGATCATTTTAATTAGTGAGTGAAACAAAATTAACACCGTCAAAAGGATTGATTTTTCTGCTTCTTTCATGTTCTTTAAATATGAAAGAGCGATTTTGGTAGCATTCATATCTAGACGTGCTGTACTTTAAACCAAATACTATGAGGATGAGGAAAATGATAAGTATTAACATAATAAAGAACTTTCAACAAGAAGTCTGTAAGGACTTTGTGACTTACAACTTCTTATGATATAACAATAAGGTATTCCTCCTAGAGGAAACCGAAATAACAATTGAGGCATCCATTGAGAGAGAGCTAACCCACAAAATTCAAATACCAGTTTATTAACAAATTCAAGGTGTTCGTAATCGAACACGTTCATAAATCGATATTTTGAATTTTGTGGTTTAACTCCTCTCAATGGACGCCTCAATTATTCAATATTTCATAATTTGTGCAATGAACTGCAGCTCACACCTTCCAAGCCGCATGAAAAAGTTACTATCGAGCAAACGAAAATATTTCGGTCACTCTGTGAAACGTAAGTATACGCAACCGTGAGTAATCTGAAACTTACACACCTCGTATTTCATATCACAATGGTTATGACAGGTCGAGCCACTAGGGGGCCAGCTTCAAATGTCTTCCATTGTATCGCAAAGTGATAGCGCCATTTCTTGCAGTGGCGAGGCGTCAGGGGACGCTGTGATGCAGAGCATCCCCAAGTAAAATATTTATTAAAGAACCCTGAAGATTGTATTGATAATATTACAAGTGACCCGTTGAGCGAAGCACGTTTTGTATTAATTGTAAGTGATTTCCTAACATTGGATTCGGCGCGTTGTTATAAGCTGGCCTCTGATTGCTTCACGCTAAAATGTTTTTAGCGTCTGCCACGAAATTGCGACGGGCAATGACGCATGCGCAGATGGCGAGGTTCCCCCTCCCCGTCTCATTCCTCCATGTCCCAGAGATTCCCGAGCCGGTGTACGACTAAGAAAGAGACATATGAGCAACTTGCTCGTCTGTGCAGGAAAGCGCAGCATACTTGACGTTGTCAGTGAAATGTTTTTCTTTCTCCGTAGTCATTCTCTGGGCACAAACAGGCAAACTAGTGTTTGCCAATTAATTCTTAATTAACATCTAAGAACTTGTATTCTTCCTTAATTATATTAAATATTATTTTGATGTGAAGTGTATAAATTCACGAGTGATGATCTCATTGCCAATCACGCATGAGAATTAAAGCTGAGTCAGTGATTAATTGGCTTTCAACAAGTCTCCTGACAAATCTGATGAGGTGTTATAACATTTGTATCGATAACACAGATTCTAGAGAACATTAAAGATCGTACCCCCTGTTCGCCTTATTGCTGAGCATCCCCAAACGCGAGAGTTGCGCTACGCCACTATTGTCTTGTCTCTATAGTATTTGCTCGTGCTCACGAGGAAAATCGAACGGACTGCAGTCGCGCAATGTCTTTCTAGGGGGAGCCAGGTAAATGCCATAGGAAACATTTACCATGGAATGCAATGCAATTGGGAAACGTCCACCGTGGTTGGGGTCGATCGTAACCTGAAGGTCTCTGCGCGTAACTTGGCATCGAGCGCGGTTCACTACAAGCCAGGTAGCGACTCGCCCTCACCCGTCCAAAGAGGCGAGCGGGTAGGTTGGAGACACATTTAGGCGGTCGCTGAGCTGACGAGGAGATACGTGCGGACTTCAACGAAACTCGTTGTGAAGGTAGTTCTTCGTGAAAATATCACGTATGCATATCCATAGTGCAAAATGATTTAGATTTATTTAGTAAAAAACAGTAAATACTGCAGGTGATGTATAGGGGAAAACATCTGCGCATGTATTCTTGAGTTACAGAATCCCTTCCCATCATTTTAACTAGTAATAGTTGAAAGATAAGTAAAAGTTAAAGATAAATAAATAAATAAAAATACAATTTAAAAAGCGAGATTAACAACATTTGAAAAAATTGAAATTATCGTTCCCGAGGTATAAAAAATGTATTTGCAACGGTAAACAAACTGCAGATTTGATTTTTCTGCATTGCTAAGAAAATAGTAACTCCCCCTTACCTCTACACCTACTACTACAAGCAAAAGGGGGGTTCAACAAAACGTGCGCATACTGAAGCTACATTTACAAAAATTATTGAGGAAAAAATCGAGTAAAAAATTCGCGTCAACATCCGAGTGGGCAAGCTATCTGTCAGAGCAGGCAATACAAAATTATCATGGCGTAGTGAATAGACGCCTCGGATCGAACGCCGAATATTTATTTGTTATGCGGCTTTTTTATATTTTTATTTTCTACGCAGGCCTTGAAATTAATTAAAAACTTTATTTTGATTCGATAATTTATCGCACTCAAATTCCCAGCGAATTGATCCAAATGGGGGGAGGGAATGAATAAACTTAATTTTAGAATATTATGATTAACAAACGAGGAAACAAATATAAATTTGCTCCACACAGAATTTGAACAATAAACATTCCGCGCTGTAGTCGCTTTTGCTATACCTCAATCAGAGAACTTGTTCAACAAGCTGTTGGTCGAGATTTTGAAACACTTTTTTAAGGGTGGTCATTGAACCCTACAAACACATGTACGAGTACATGACTTATGCATGGACTACCTTCACGGAGAGTTTCATTTAATTCCGCATTAACCAACCCTGGAAGCATCCTTGTGGGTACAGACTTGGTAAAGCCTAATGGACGAGACTGACCGTCTGTGAACGCCTTCTGGATGGAATAAAAAAGTGTCTCGGGGCACGCAGAGGTACCAAACTGTTGCTAATCACGGACGTGTATTGACTACAGCGCTGTAGGCACCGGGCGAGTCGCCTGGCGCTCGGCGCTGCAGCTCGGTCGAAGCGCTGTCAAGGGACTCTGGAAATCCAGCTGTCGTCGAACCCTCTAACCTCCCCTTTCCATAATCACCTTCACCTTTCACACTCACCAAGTAGCTATGTAATAAAATTAGCAGTGAGAATAATAGCGTTGTAACCTGTAGCACAAGGAGAAATTGCAATGGTTGGTGTTCTGTCAAGGGTGGATGGTGGGTTCTGGAAAGGGTGGATGAACTTAGAACATTTACATAAATAAACAAAATATTAATTACATCTGATTTTACAAATATCGCAATGTATACATAAAAGTACATAATACTTACGTATGTACATATTTACTTTTGATTTAAAGTAATTTTTGAATGAAACTAAAATAATGAGTGAGGAAATTACATTACATATTAATTCAATATGGTTGTGCTTGTACTCGCCCTAGAGGAGCTAGTGAAGGATAACCGAAGGAATGTAATTCGTTAAGAGGGGAATGTACTTTATTTTCCGCGTTACTTAATAAACAGCCAAAAACACACACACCCAACGTCATTAATGACAGAATTTATAATAGAATCCTCAAACGCGCTCTTTCAAAGGAAATCTTCCGCCGTAAGTGAGGTATTTCGATAGCTGCGCGCACGCATTGAACGCTCGTGTACGAAGTACGTGAACGCTCGACGTGCCCGAACGGCCGCCAGCGCTCGCAGCGCCAGAGGCCGCAGCGCCAGAGGCAGTCCGTTGCAGCGCGACAATTACTAGGCGGCAGGCCGTCGATCGGTCGGTTACATTCCTCAGAATGTAGAGCTCGAGCATAAAACTCGAAAGTGGCAAGCTTAACAACTACTATTTATGCAGCCCTCCCCGGTGCGAAGTGTGCTTGCTGACTAACCCAGCGGCAGTTCACAAAATCAGATTAGATCTCATTATACAAACGGTTATTTTGCTTAAAACTAGTCGGCCCGGCAATGCTTCACTATTGCAATCTGTTACATATCACACACTACTGGTCACGTGATTGTTAATTACGTTTTACGCTACGCTCTGTAATAATGTTAATAGATGAAAGACTTTCTCGTGGGTATGGGTTTGTCCTGTCTTGGTTTAGAGTGAAGGTCAAGTATCCTAAACGTTAAAACGTTCTCCCTCAAGTTTGGGCACGCATTGGCAGTGACACTGTCTTGGAGAAATTTCTCCGTGATAACGTTCAAGTAATAATTCCGGCCTATATTTTACAATCGCAGGGAAAGAATATGCAGTGAAAACGCGCTTAAACTTGAGGGTGCGACGGGTTGCATAAAACATCCGTTCAGGGACTCTTGAGTCAGCATTAACACAAAATCACCACCAACGCGCTACTACATACGACAGGCACATGCACATTCCCATTGTAATAGGCTTATATTCTTCGCACAAGTGCAAACTATAAGTTGAGAAAGTTTTATCGCAATCGGATGGACGGTACGGTAGTGCACAAAATACAAACAAACATTGATTTCTTTGTATTATATATTCTTCGAGAAACATGCAGGTTTGCCATCAAACATCCTTCGCTACCGTGTTTACCATGCGCTCATATCATAGAATAGTAGTTTTCCCCTGCCCACACGCTCTGATGATGTGACATCCGGAATCGCGGCCTACCCGCCCCCACCTTACCGATGCTTTCTCCAGAAGAGTAACGCGCTAGCGCCTGTTGCAGGACATGTCCCAGTCCGGAGATGGCTTGCACACGCCGAGCTACCTCTCATGGCGGAAGCTGCACCTCAGCCGCGCCAAGCTCAAGGCGTCCAGCAAGACCTCCGCCCTGCTGTCCGGATTCGCCATGGTGAGTTCAGGCTGTTGGCATTCGGCAGGGCGCCCGCCTTGCCGAATTAACATGGTTCTATTTTGCAGTGTAGTGAACGGGCCGTGTGCGTCTTTGCATTGAATATGTACAAAATGGAACGTTGTTTCGATATGTCAAGTTTTCTGCTACAATGCTCCACAAGAAGAACTTTTCAAAAAGGAAGTTGAGTTGTCAAATTTAGTTCTTCACACTTTACCATAGACATACTACAATCAAGTCGTATTCGTAAATTTTCGTTGGGCATTCTTAATATGAATCTGGCAACACTTGATCACCGGTTGATCGAATAGCATGGCCAATACGTCCAAGCATCTCATCCCAAAATACGAGTTTTCAATAATCTCTGAAGTCTTGGGATTAAAACCGGGTGAATCAGAAAGCCACTGGGTTCTGAATTTCTCTTCGCTTTTTTCCAGCGGAGTCCGTTAATGTTCTGCAAGACAATGGGTTTTATCACGAATCCTCATCGAATCTATGGTCAACATAATGCGAGATCGTGTCTGACCTCACAAAGATTCGCGCGCGTTTGAATGAATCGCTGAGGCTTTAGGGGTAAGGCAATCACTATATAAAATATAGCAGCAGTGCAGTGGCGTTCTCACTTCGAGAGGCTACGAGCTCCTGTCCCGCATAGGCATGGCTCATTAGCCGGGTGTTGTGGTAAAGCGGACCTGCCACGCACTATTAAACTCCATGAACTATTAAAAATTTGACCTCCCCAAGTGGCTCACGCGCGACAGGGACCAGATAGGTAGGAACTAGAGCCAGGTAGGCATTACATCCTTTCTGCTTAATCCTGCATTACTCCTTCACTTTGCATACGGAACGCTGCGATCTGTTTGCGTGAGGTCAGCGCCGGCTGAATAACAATCGCACGTCTACAGAAGATATTGATTGATTGGAAATGATATAGGAGGCGATGTGCGGGGTACATTTCCGGGGAAACGGGGTACCGTTTCCGGCAGAGTAGAAAAATCTATTGTGTAATAGATATGAGCAAAGGACAAACATATTTTCCATGCCTTTTGTGAATGACGTATATTGTTGATGACAAAGCATATTGTACTGTAGCTCTGACCATAGGTCTTTCTATTGGTATTAATAATCCCTTTTTCTTTTCTTCGCGGCTATAGTTCACTAAATTATTTATAATGAACTTACTGCTAGAACGCACTCTTGCACACCGAAGTGGATTTGAGGTTTCCGAAGACGTCACAGAAACTACTAAAATAAAATTCACTTTTTCTCGGACTGTCTCAGCTGGAATCTGCATTGGTCAGATGCTCTTACACGTCGTCACTATTCGTGAATTCTCGGATGTGTGTTCGGGCCCTCACTTTCAAAACAAAAGTAGTTTGTTATACCGTATGCAAATTATTATGAAGAAGCTATAAGTGCCTCTCCCAGCTAGTCCCTACGATAGTGTGAGAGATGGCGGCCAGGATGCGTGCCTGCCTGGCGTCGGCGGTAGTGACATCTGGGTGCGGGCTGGCTTCCTGTGAAAATTGGTGTAAGCGGGCCTGCGAGCTAGCGCAATCTAGCAATAGACATCGAAACTATGAGCTCTCATGCTTCCTCGGTGTTGGGAACTTGACTGGTTGGGAAACAAAATTATCCATGACGGTACACGCGTTCTACATGCCAAAGAGGCGTTGGACCTTAGCACAGGGGACCGATAAGAGAGATCTAAGGCAAGGAGTATGTATGAGTGATGTACGAGTATGTGGGGGCATGAAGGCACTCCGAACAACATAACTTAATGTGGTTAAAGAATGTTGTCGGTAAACAATTATTTAATGACGCCATATTAAATTGAAGGAAGGTCTCAGAGAAACTCCTGTCAAATTCCTAAAATCCGAACGTAAACGTATCCGGAAATGAGGTGGAAGTGTGCCGAAGTGAACTGAAGAGCCAGAGGCATTTTAAAACTTAAATACTGTATTGATTATTTACTCAATAATTTATATTCTTCAGGCGCGCAAACCGTGGCTGAAATTGACTAGAGAAGTAATGGCCTAATGCAGGCTTGAAAACTTACGAATTCATATCTGATTCTTCGTTATTATGATGTGAGTCACAACTTCCTCAGCTCAAATATCCACACTGTTTTCATTCGGTCGTTTTATCCGGCCGTTTATGATTCACAAAAATATCAGATTTCTGTTACTTCCTGTTCTCTGATAAATTAGAGCTTGCGTGCAACCTTAATATTTTTAGATAACTATGAAAGTGTTCTCATATTTTTTTTTTTTAATGTATACAATTGCATGCTCCTGAAACTCCAGCTGCACGAACGAAGCTGAGATTTTGTTTTCAAATATTGCTAGAAATTCATTAAAAATGTTTTTAGATATTTTAAAAAAGCTACAATTATAGAATTACATTAAATTTCTGTAAAGAAAATAAAAATTAAATTATTGGAATTATCGTATTTGGTTTACTAATATTATCGCTGAGAAAATAATTGAATCTCTCAGATATAATTTTTGTATTGTTTCTGTATTTTTGTGATCTCAATAGTTATCTTTACCATTACTTTCGGCATAATTTTTTTTATTATCATTCAAAATCTGAAACTAAATTAACCTGTAAGTCACTCCTTTCATTGTGGCACCCAAGCACAACTCCTCTCTACCCAAATACCTGTAATCATGTCATTCATTCATGAGCGGCGCTTTACGAAGGAAAGTGGTCGCTCCAAGACTTCAAATTGAATTTGCTTATCGAATTTAAAGCTCTTTTCACTGAAAATTTTGAGGTTTTGAAAAACGTCATTTGAAGTCATGTTAAGTACTTTAACTCACAAATACAATAAGGTTAACAAATTGGAGGAAATGTGCATATCAACGGCGTGAAAAATCTTTCAAAAAATTTACATTTATGTGATTTTTGAAAAAACAAAACAATTCACCGGAATGGCCTTTACGTAATTTAAAGAGTGAAATTAGCACTACCCGTTCGAAATGTTCGAAGAAAGAATTTGGAGCTTTTTTGAGAAATGGCGTTTGAGCGTTTCTGAAAATGCGGAATTTTGAGCTACTTTTCACAGCAATCGCTTGAGTTTTCGAGAAACTTTATTTGGCATTATTTAAAGAATATGAACTTATAAATACAATAAATGGAATAAATGGCCTCTAGTATAAATATTAACGACACGAGGCAAGTAAAAAAATTACATTTTTATAATTTTTGAAAAATAAAAGAATAGATCAATATGGTGTTTGTCATCTTATGGAGAACATTTAGCGCTATCCCTTCCACAAGTTTAAAGAAAAAATTCGGATCCTTTTTTGAGAAAATCTTATTTCTGTAATTTTTTAAAATTGCGTATATTGCATTCAATATTGCGCGAAAACTACTAAAATTTCCAAAAAAATGTACATGACCGTAATGAAAGAACTCTCTACGGTGAACAAATTTTATTTGAAGGCGAAATCTCTATTTTCAATTTTGTAGTTGTAGGAAAACACTGACGATCATACTTGTGCAATTTTCGAATATTCAGAGTTAACCGTGAAAATCTGACCTAATCTTATAAGTGTATGTTACTCTATTCTTACAAGAAATTTAAATAAAAAATTTGGAGCCGTTTTTGAGAAAATATTGCAAATGTCCAGAGGGCTTCATGTAAAGTACCTCCAAATTTTGAAGAATGCTTTTTAAAATCTCAAGCCAGATGCACAGGGGTTTCTTCATTTGTTGTTATACATAATGTTGCGTTATTGCATTCGTTCAAATTCGTACTCGCTACTAAGGTCGTTCGTGTTCAAAATATGCAATAAAGCATAACATAAACCAGTTGCGTAATATACGATTACGGTATTACCCTGATATTTGTTATTAAAATGTAATTTTAATTTACAAAGACACAAGCTGAAAGATTGACAGCCATATAGATGGTAATAACTTGATATTTGCCAAAATATTGTAGAACATTGCTAACCTTTCATTTGTTGAATTATTGTGTTGATTATTATAATGTTCCTTTTGACTGTAGCAAAAACTGTAGCATTTATGATTCTCTTTTTCTTTGGTACAGGTTGCCATGGTGGAGGTTCAGCTGAGCAAGCCTAGTGAAGTGCCGGAAGGAATGCTAATAGCGTTCGCCATTTGCACAACAATGCTTGTGGCAGTGCATATGTTGGCGTTAATGATAAGTACTTGTATTTTGCCAAATATTGAGACTGTATGTAGCCTTCACTCTATCAGTTTAGTTCATGAATCTCCCCACGAGCGTCTACACTGGTACATCGAATTGGCCTGGGCATTTTCAACTCTCTTGGGACTGCTGCTTTTTCTGTTTGAAATTGCCATTTTATGTTGGGTAAAATTTACTGACTATTCAAAATACGCTGCTTGGTCAGCGAGCATTATTCTTGTGCCTGTGTTGGTCATATTTGTGATATTTGCTGTGCACTTCTATCGTTCGCTTGTTACTCATAAATACGAAGTGACTGTTTCCGGAATCAGAGAACTAGAACTATTACAAGAGAAAATTGAAGCTGGAAACACTGAAGGAAGATCAAATGGAACATCTGGATACAATACGATTCTCACAGTCTGAAGTTTTTATAACAATGATGGAAATGACGTTATTTGTTGTGCATGACCAACATGTGCAATTGACTGTTCTTGCCATGTACCATAGGTTACAAAAGCTTTTTTTGTTTAATTAGTGAATGGTTGTCACAAAAATAGCTCTGCAGAGCTATGCCACCTTCACTCATTCCTCATCAGTTCTAGGAAGGAATGTAAACATTCTTTGAGAGCTTTTTAATGACTGTAAAAACATGAATAACGGTATACTACACGCAAGTAAGTTGACAAACGTGTGCCGTGTTGGACCAAAACAGTTGAATGTCAACCTAAGAGTTAGATTATTTTCTTCCCTAAAATTGTCTTAACCTGACCAAGGCAGTCTGCCTTGACCTGACAGAATATGTAAAAGTACTTCACAAAGGCTGCATTTTCTTCCTCTTTACTACGTCACTAAAGGTGATTAGTAACTACTAGTGATGCTACATCGATAACAAAACAGTGATGTTAGCGAACATCGATGTTCCAAATTAAAACACCGATGTTCGAAATACTTCGACCAAAAACCATCGATGTTCTTCAACATCGATGTTTTTAAACTGTTTTAGTTACTTTTAACATTAAATTCGTGTGCATTAAAATTTTATTTGGCAGTGTTCATGTTAATCAATTCGCCGAATAAGGGTACGAGAAGGAGGCAGACCCTATCGCGTTTGTTGACCATATCTCAATGTGCGAAATGAATATGAAAAAGGAGGAAATACAAGAGCATGGAGGTCATCTTGAGCGAGAGAGTTTGGTCGATGAAGGTAGTGCAAATAGTTGCATTGGTTCCAACATGAATAACAGTGTTACTCTCAGTTATTATTTCATATTTTTATTTTACGATATAGTTATAATGGGAATTTTTCATTCAGAAACAAAACATCGGAAAAGAAAAAAACATCGATCACAAAACGTCGATGCTAAATAAATGTTAGTGATAATACATCGATGTCGCATCCCTAGTAACTAAAGCAAAATGTGATTTTATACGTAGACGTTTTCCAGTAATACGGAAAAAGTTAAAACATCCCATTAGTAGTGAGCACCTCCAAGTGGTCTCAGAATGTTCTTCTCCACATACGTCTACTGTGTTCTATTATTTTTACATTTAATAAAAACTTGTTACTTTCTAATCAACAAATCATTCAACTGTTTCTCTAAATTTATTTCATTAATTTGATTTTGAAGGGAAGCGATGGGATAAAAAGTACTTGTTTAAATGAAGTCCAGAAGCAGTATCTCTCATAAAAATTTTCAATTTAAAGTATTGAAGAACGTATGTACTAAAATTGGTGTTTTTTTTGGGTGTTGATGGTATCACATCGGTTTTGTTTTGAAGAATGGAACATTCTGAAGTTACTTGGGGTTTGCCGAAGCATACTTTTTTAAATCGAGCAAACGTTTTGTATCTGACATACTTGAAACTCTACGTATCAGGCTCTAGTCTCAGTGAAGTATTTCTGTAAATATTTATCTTCATTTTATAGATTTCTTGTCACACAATTTTTCATGTATTTAGCAAGTTTCTTAAAAGGTTGATCGAAGTGTATTATATAAGTATTTTGATTAAATTATTTTTATACAAAGTAAGTGTGATTTGTTGTATAAAGCTCCTTTTTTGCCTATCCCTTTTCGTGAAATATCGTTGATTGTAACTCAATGTGTTCGCAGTAAATAACAACCCAAAATGGAATGATCTTATAGTAGACACATCTGATAATTGCAGATGCGTCTATTATTATAAGACTAGATTTCATTTCACTTTCACACATCTTACATTACTTTTTAGAATTCTTACGTTCATAGATGATATGAAAAATTATTTAGTATTAATTCAAACTGCAAACAATCGTTGGCAACAGTCTTCCAAGGTTTATCTTCTGTGTCAAGTTTTAATAAATCTCATCCGTCATTTCTGGTTGGATTAAAAAAATAATCTGTTTATAATTAATTATTTCGTGTAAATTCGTAAATTCATAGTAAGTTTGCAGTGTCTGCTTATACGGGCGTGATCTGGTGCGATGAATGCAAGTCATTGGATTTGTTCGTACGGGTGTCATTTTGAGAATAAAACACCCACACTGTATTTACATGTAGGAATGGTGGATCATGTTAGAAAACTGAGAGTATACATTATCCGCATGTTTCATTGGGTAGTTTTGCATGTCTAACTTTCGCATCATCGTTTTCTTCTCTGTATTTCTTACGCAAACACTTTTGCAAGTCACAGTGAAGTTCGACATTTTTGACAGAATTTTAACTGAACGAGACATGCTCCAAATACTCTAGATTTTTGTTCTTATTTCTCATCGGTGGTATAGCAAGAGTCTGTTAAGAGGAGAGGTGGAAGGCAAGAGCTTCAACGATGCAGACAAAGGATCATTGTCGAATGAACCTTTCCTATTACTAAGAGTACGAGATTCCTTGTCTAATTCAGACCATCCAGCTCGTAGATGATTCCCGTTCCTAATATATTTCATTATCAAAAATTCCTCATCACAGGCGGCGAATGCTCTTACTTAAAGAACAGCATTGTGTAGTGAAAATTTGACAACTCATTTCAGCTTTTTCGACTTCCTTAAGGCACGGGCAAACAATGTACTGAAGAATTTCAGCTTTAATTCTTCATCTAGGTCTTCTGTAAAGCTACCCTCTGCGATCAGGAGGATTAAGCTTACTGCATAAAGAGAAAAATAAGTTGGAGGGAGTCTGATATATTTTATAGTTTTCTAAAACAAGTTTCTTTTGTTCAAACCATTTTTAATATTTCGAAAAATTCCAACTCCAGTTATTGCATGCGACGGAATTTTTTGCTCGGTTTTGGGAATTTGATTCGCTGAGTATGGAACGGTAAGACCTTTGTTTTGTCCACGCGCTAGCGATTGGTGTTAGCCTCTGGCCTGTAGACCATCCACACCACCAAGTCCTTCCATAGGCAAAGGTTACTCAGGGCATCAACTGATGTCACTGCAGCGCCTCTGACCTGGAGGTTCTAGGATTCGAGACCCGACTGTGGGAAAACTTTTAGCACTAGCTTCTCAGCCAGGTGGGATTCAGCCGCTGTCTGGAAGAGAATTCTCGCGGCCGGTTGCTCCGATCGGTAGTTTTCCGTGGTTTCTCCGATCAATATGAGGCAAATGCCAGAGCAGTACCCTAACAAACGGGCCACGGACTGCGCGCGATGTTTCCTTCCGCTTCCTTGTCTCATCCTCGCCACTTACGCCACACTCGCATGCTATCCTACCACACTTATCGAGGGCGTAGAGCTTGCTCCGGCTGGGGCGACGCCGAATCTCGCCAGCCAGCGGGGGAAGATCACCGCCACCTCCCAAAAAACATTAACGAGACTACGACTTACTAGTAGAAGCGCCCGGAATCACTAATCAATCAGTCAAGTCTTTCCCTCTGAGAGACCACACACCTGAGTGCTAAGAATTAATAGTGCAGAAAACGCTTATTTCAGAATAGTATCTATTATGGGAACGAAAATGTCTAGTTTTTCAAATGTCGCAACTGTCACGCTTTTAAAAAAAATATTATTATTATTATTGTTATTGTTATTATTATTATATTATAAATTTGTTTGTAACTTTTATTCGTTTTCAAATATTTATAGAAAAAATGTTGGGAAGGGACTCTGGAACTCAAGAAAACTATCGCAGATTATCTTCTCCCCCATACATCACATACAGTTTTTTACTTTTTTTTACTTCAAAAAATCTAAATCTGCAGTATATGTTCACTGCGATTTGCCGAGAAATAAACATTGGTTCAGCAGGCACTACTTCCCTCGCCATTACTTGCAAAGAACCGTTTATACAAAATTGTATAGGAAGCAGAATATTACTTGTAGTTGAATTTGAGCGGTCTTATCGCTTTTGGTGATATAATTATTAGTGAACACCAAACTTTAAATATTTTTTTTCTTAGAATGACTGCCTTGAGACGGATAAGTCATTATGTAAATGTGCTACTCCGTCATGGTACAGAAAATAACTCGTTATGCTATAACAGCACATACTTTCTAGCGTTATTACTACATTTCCAAGTTTAGAAAATTCAGAGTGTACAACGAAAATTAAATGTGCGATGTTACGAAAGATACAAAAACTGTTCATTAAAAAAACTGTGCATGACCTTCTTTGAAGAGATGTTTTTTTGAATAGATTTTGTGTAAGGCAAAAATCGTTAGCTTCACTTCTGTAATTTTTAAATGTTGAAGTTTTGCAAATTTCGAAAATACAGAAAGTTTGACGGAAATGAGACTAGCACCACTTTTTTAACCGTCCTTTGGTATACACAAGAAGAAAAAAAAAGTTTTAAAAAATTAAACATTGTTCATAAGTCCCGAAAAAATTGCGCGTAATCTACTCATATTTTCGAATAATTGTACACGACCTTATTTTAAGACATTAAAGAATAGGTTTTGCTAAGGAAAAAAATCTCTATATTTAATATTATAGTTCTAGGAAGACGAAAAGAATGAAACTTTTGCAATTTTCGAAAAATCAGGGATTTTGACGAAAATGAGACGTGCACCATTCTCTTAAGCGTCCTTTACGCTATCAGAGGACAAAGTTTAATTCAAATATTGAAGCCATATTTGAGAAAATTTTGAAAATAGTGTTGAGGGTTCACATTAGGTCCTCCCCAATATCGAAATATCCATTTCAATCTCAGTGGGCCACGAGTTCATTTAAATCGATCGGGGAATATCAATTTTGGAGAAAATCGGCCGAACTGTTTAGCTGCTAGCGTAGATCATATACATCGGCTAATGCCTTCTATTACTAGTAATAGAAAGTATCGAGTAGACTCGGGAAGAGGCTATGGCTCTTTTTCCCCTACCCTAAGTCAAAACATTTGTTTGTAATTTAACCCCTATAAATTCACAATTACCATGTTAATTACATCCGAAGAGATTTCTTTCTACATCCATCCCTGTCCTCGAGGAACCCAAGGAGACCTACACCTATCAACAAAATTACATCAGCTCCAATTTATTTGTTGTGGCAACTGGGAATTCCCCTGAAATGTTTGACTACGGTGACTCGGTAAAATAAACATTCGAGTATACTTGAGTACACAGCACAAGCCTTTAGTTTCAAATGCGTCTCGCGGTATAAGTGAATTTCAGTAAATGGTTTCTCGCGCAATGTAACGACAGTTTGCTTCATTTTAGTTATAGTTTTGACGTTCCAGAATTTTTCTTTTTCATAATTCAATATTGCTACTTGAATTAAATTGTAAATGAATATTTGCTGAAAAAAGTAATTGCGGTATAGTGTGTGTTAATGAGAAGATATTTAATAAGTGTGGATAATTTTATTAGGATTAATGAAATGGCCTTTTGAACTAGAATAATATTATATAAATCCAGTCTTAAAGAACCATTGGCAAACTGTTGGAGTGACGCAACGTGAAAATTACCATCAGATTCAAGTAGGCATCTTGTTCAGAAAAGAAAAAAAAATACTGGGATTTTCCAGCACTTTTCGGTAAGAATCTCATATTAAATTGATATTCAAGGTTTCTAAGGGACTGAAAACTATCACATATCTCTGAGTCTTGAGTTACCAGCTAATTAATGCCCCAATGCTTCATATAAACATGGTACTTGTATATGTAATAGTTGTGTAAGAAACGTTATGTTGGCTATACTGTTTGTCATGCAGACAGGTGCCAATCTTTCGTGTTCCTCCCATTGGAGGTGTGTGAAGTGACGTATTATTATTTAATATATTCTGCACGTAATTATACTTATTTATTACTTTTAGGGGGCGCATCTATATATTAGGATCCGTAAGCATTTATTATTAGTATGTGCTCATTTTGAAGACTTGTCATAGAGCAACAACATTGATAATTTGAAGGTTATGGGATTTTTAGTCACTCATTACGATAATTATTTACCTTACTCGTGGAATGAATTCCACGAGTAGTGCAATGTACGTAACCTGAATTACTAGTGACTGTAAGTTCAATTTAAGGGTTTTCTGTGGTTCTAAAATTGCTTTAATGGTGTTCAGAGGTTTATTTCAGAAAAGTTGCATGAATTCCCCTTCCATCTCAAAATTACAGTTCTTGGAGCATTCCTTCAGAGTAGTACTTGCAGATACATTAGTTCCATGTCCGAGTGGTCAAGTAGCTCTGGAAGGACTGTCTTGGCGTCAGGATATAACAGACACCACTCTGGAAATAACGGTTGCCTTCATAATAGAGGTACTAATAACGAGGTAAGAGACATCATAAATTTGAAATTAATGACATTTATTACTTGATGCAATTCACTGTGAAGCATTGTGTATCATTGATGATTACAATTGAAGATGTTTGGCTCTGAGTTATTCACTCCACGCAAGTATTATTGTTTTGAAGAATATGCTTTTGACAACTTGTTAATTGCTGAAAAAATTATTAAAACAGATTTAAATGTGTGTGTTTTTTATGACTTACGAGATGTAATTACATTAAAAGTTTGTTCTGATTTTCAAAGAGATCTTTCTCAATATTTTCAAGATTCAATAAATAGAAAATATTTGTGAACTTGAAGCTACTGCTTAAAGAAGTAAACGTCAATCGTGAATAAATTAATAGAGCTTAATGTTTAGTAGTTGTTTTTGTTAACTACTGTGTTCTATTTCATGTCTAATAAATTGTTTTAGGTTTTGTTTCTTTATACTTCCTAGAAAGGTGGTGAATTTTGTTAACTTGTTATCACTTATCATAGTATGCACATTGATAGTTACATTTCAGTTTGATATTGAAGATTGAAATGTTAAATTCTCATAAAAAAGATGTTGATAAGAAATGTTTGCTTTTCTTAATCTTGGTTGCTTTAATGAAAATGAATTTTTTTCTTCTCCTTTTTCTTCCAGGAAAAAATGTCTCAGTCAGGAGATGGTCTTCATACACCAGGTTATTTATCATGGCGGAAACTGCAGCTAAGTAGGGCAAAACTAAAAGCTTCCAGCAAAACATCAGCCCTGCTCTCTGGTTTTGCCATGGTAAGCACTGTGAAATAAAATCTTCATTGTAGTTTATTTGATTTTTGGTATGTTACGTAAAATGAAATATTGCTAGCTATAATCAAAGCAAGCTTTTTGGAGCTTTCATTTTGTGAAATCGAATCTGTACTTAAGCACGAAAGTAAGTAGTTCTTATTAAGTGGAGAGAAAATTTTCTGTTATCAAATGTTAAGAATATAAAGGAGAGGGGGCAGAGATTCTGGAAGTGTAAGAAAACTTGCAAGATTAATAATTCTGATCTTAGTTTTAGTGTAATGACCATCAGTGTGTTTCCCTCCTTAATTTTTCAATTCATGAGCAAGTTGTGCCTTATTTAAATTTTCGTATTTTAGTTTTTCTCAAGTTTGACATTTTCAGATAGACTGTATCCATTACCCAAATATTTCCCGTATTTGAAACTTTTGTCATTCAAAAACCAACTGTTATTATTTATTAATGATTGGATTTTTGTAATTAATTCATGCAGTGAATATTGATTCTTATTCTTGTGTTTGTAGGTGGCAATGGTTGAAGTTCAACTAAATGATCGGTCAAAAGTTCCACAAGAAATGTTGATAGCTTTTGCTATATGCACTACCCTCCTTGTTGCTGTTCATATGTTGGCTTTGATGATAAGCACTTGCATTCTTCCCAACATTGATGCTGTGTGCAATTTACATTCAATTAGCTTAGTCCATGAATCCCCACATGAAAGGCTTCATTGGTACATTGAAACTGCATGGGCTTTCTCAACTTTGCTGGGACTTCTACTCTTTTTGTGTGAAATAGCAATTCTGTGTTGGGTGAAATTTTATGATTTTTCCAAGTTAGCTGCATGGTCAGCATGTATAGTTCTTATACCTGTATTGATCATTTTTCTAGCATTTGCGGTGCATTTTTATCGATCCCTTGTCACCCACAAGTATGAAGTAACTGTTTCAGGAATTAGAGAGCTTGAACTTCTCAAAGAGCAAATCGAAGCCGGTGACACAGAAGGAAGGTCAAACGGAGTAGGTTCTTACGGTAATGCACAAATAGTATAGAAAATCAAAACTATTGCGGATTTTGTGCTAAATATTTATTAAGAAAGAGCAGTCTTGCCAGTTACCAAAGAATGTATAATATTCTTTAAATGCAGGGTACTAACACTTGCCTCTTTAATCTTAGAATTAGTTTTGTTGAATTATAAATATTTTAATAATTTTGTTAGATTACTTGTGAAAGGTCTATTATTATTCATTATCTGTGAGAAATAGATGTGGATAAAATTAATTCCAATACTCTATTCAGAAATGTAGGATTGTACAGTCTAGTTTTTATATTAACTAATAGGTACTAAAAAAAACTGAATGTAGTTTTTTTGAATTCTAGTTCACAGAAAGTACAACTGGTAATGTTTGATTTCCAGGAGTACCAGACTATCATTCCAAGTTTTTGGAATTCCTTTGAATGCCTGATCCAAGTCAGTGTGCCTGTTTCAGCATCTGACGGACTTACTTGATTAAAGCAATATTAGTGTGAATAGTGTAGAGAATTAATGGTCTTCTTAAACACATCATGTAATGTTCTATGGGTATGCTAAATATATTTGTGAGGATAATGCAATTTTTCGCACTTTTCATGTTGATGTTTGGATGATCTTTTTTTTGTTTATAACTTAAGCTATGAGCAATGTGACTTTTGCAGTTACATATATCTTTGCTTGATGTCATTGTTTTAAGAACCTTTTAATTCATTTTATGAAAAGTAAAATAACTTATTTTTAAATTCTCTACTGGATCAGAAGTTACCAGTCTTCATTTTTTGAAACGACAATCTTGGAGACATGTGTATTAGAAAAAGAATCTTGTTTCTTGACAGCTGAGACCGGGAAATATAAAAGGAAATTTGGAAGCTGGAAATACTGAGAAAAATTTTTCTAAAATGCTAATGGAAAAAAAGAACTACTATTTTCCCCTGTTATCACAGGAACTTGAAATAAAATGCTAGGATGTTATCAGACAACTTATTGCAATATCTATGGAGAATTCTCTCTGAGAAACAAAGAAGTCTGCTTTTCTGAATTAATTGGAAAAGTCATGTTGCCATTTGTTGTGAAATGGAGAGAAACAATCCCTCTAAAGGACATGTCGGTAATCTATTTACACTGTTATGCGCCTGCATAACAGTTTTATTTTCTTTGTTTTTTAATGACCTTTGCATATTATTATTTTTTCTCCCCCAGGAAAATTGAGAAAAATCTCTACTCTTCACACATTGGTTCTTACTATTCATTGTTTAAACTTTTAAACTATTCTGTGTACAATGAAAATGTACCGATTTTTTCCAATCCTTGTTATTTTTTTGAGATCAGTAGATATGATACGCTCACAGTACACTATGGTTGTATCATAATTCGAATGTTTAGAGTTTCAGGTACTCTGCAATTCAGAATGAAAATTCAATTTATTAATTTGTTTTGTACGTTTTAGAGAGGAAAAGCTGTTAATATTCAATTTCTAATTAGGCGCAGTAAATTTACAATGTGATAAAATCAGTTGTTATGAATATTAAGTACTAACTTAATGCTTAAATATTTAGCAATATGATTTGATCTTAATATGCCATGATTCAGGGTGGGTGAACTCTTTTTTCTCTCCGTTTCTACCTTTCTTTCGTGATTTTGTTTCCAACTCTTCTTTGCCTTATACCAGGGGTCTTCAACCTGGAACACCTTTATGAACCCTTTGAGCTCATGGTTTTCTTGAAGGGACCTCATTTTTAAGTAGCCGACAAAATAGTTTATCAAAGCATTTTTTTACTCAAATTTTGAAAATTATTTAAACTGACAAAAATATATATGTATAATAGTGATTGTCTTAAATATTTATAATTTAACACTGGTATCCTTTTTCTTTTTGGACAACCACTATACATAATTTTCAGAAAAATGTTTTATTTTTCACTTATTGTGAAACACATTATTTCGAATAATGTAGTTTTAAGAATCATCAGGTGTAATAAACATTATGTATATGAATTCATGAAAATGAAAAAAAATCTTTATTCTTATGTATTTTGGTTTTATCCATATTTTTTGAATTGATTGATCAATCTTTTATGTTTGTACAATCTATTGCCTTTTTATATGCTGCAGTTTATATTAATATTGTAATTTTTACTTAAATATTATATTAATTTAATATTTTAGTAAGGTGGTCCACTACCCCATTCTTAGATGAAAAAGTCTTGTGTAGATGATTTCCATTTTGTATGTTTTGGCTGAGCAAATAGTGATCAGTTGTGGAATCCCTGTAACATTCCAGGGAACCCTAGGGTTCCAAGGAAACTTTGGGTTGAAGACCCCTGCCTATATGAATTGGTAAACAATCGAAATAGTATATTTTGTAAAGAACTTTCTGCAGTTTTTTTTATCTCCAAAATGTTGCTGCTATTTCATAAGATGGAAAGAATATTTGCATAAAGTGAGTACATAGAATCTTCCCTAATCTCAATGTCTTAAGCGTTTGTTGAATATAAATAAGATTCACTACACCAGCACCAGAGATAATGCAAAGTTGAATAAAAATTTATTTCAAAAGAAATCTGATGCAGATTATATTTCTCACATTGGGAAGACACAAAATTTTTTACACATTTACTTATTGTGCGAAGAGAAAATTAACATCTTACAGTTTCATGTGTGTTTATTGAGAGAGAAAATATTGATTTTTCCATGTCTCCAAGACTCATATTTAGACTCGTGGCATTATAAAGATGAAATAAACTCTATTCATTTTAACAATATTTCCATTAAAATAACTAACGCAATAGGGAATGTTTTGAAAGTCAATGCTGTTGGGTTGTATATGAAAGAAATTATCTCCAGTTGCATTTCTTACTTCAGTGGACAAAGTGTTTAAAAGGGAAAAGTTGGTATTTTTGTGTTTCCACTAGGTTTGAATCTCAAAAATTGAGAATCGTAAGAATGTATTAAACTTTAAAACCTAATTAATATTGATTCATGGTTAGAAATAAATGATGCTTTTAATAAATTGTGCAATTTAGAAACTATTAGGGTTTTTAAATAGTTTGTGAATTTCTTGTGATAAGTGTTAATTATTTGCTCAACAAAGAGGGAAAATTACTTCCATTGCTTACCTGTAAGCAATTCCACGCTCATGGTGCAGCATTTTTTAAGAATTTATTATGATTAATAAGTCTATTTCCAGTTTTTTATGTCTTGAGGGACCAATTTAATATACTTTTATATTGAAAAAGTAAATTAGTTAATAGATCTAAATAATTCATTAATGTAGGATGTTTTAGAGATCCAAATAATAGCATTTATTATTGTTTGCCGTAGAAAATGTTTTACTATCTAGAAACAAGTGAAAAATTTATCGTATTTAGTTGTCAGTGCATGTGTTCTGAAGAGGTGACAACAAAACAAACAGTTAATGAACTTTGTTACAAAATAGTTTTCATTTGTATGACAGTTGGGTGTATAATTGTGAGAAGATAATAATTATCTTACCTGAATGAAACCTAAAGTTAAAAAAAGTAGGAGAACAGTTGAAATTGTTTAGAAAGGGGAAGTTTTAAATTCTTACACATGAGCCTTCTTTATTGAGGAGGCAATTTATTTCGGTGGGTTACTTCCTTTCAATAGACTGTGTGTGTCTGCTGCAACCATTGCAATTCCTTTCTCAATATATAGCCGTTTCTGTTCTTCCTCTGCACTCGGGCACAGTCTTGCATAATTCACAGGACACCGGGTAAAAATTGTTGCTTCCAGTGGCAATTTGGGTATGCGACACAAGAGCTTTGTGAAAGCTGAATGACAGTTATTGATGTTCAGAAATACGAGAGGATGGCCAGTCATGTGGAGTCTTCTAAGATGACCTTGCTGTACCTAAATTTTCTGCAACTAGACTGATTAATGTATTGTAATTTAATATAACTATGTTGTTTCTGAATTATGACACTGGGATCTAGAGGGAGGTAAAGAAATGGGTTTAATGCTGTTAAATTCACTGAGGACCTACAGGTACCTAATTGCTACATTTAATTTATCCACAGTTTTGGATTTAACCATTAAATTAGCTAGTTTTTAAAAGTTGATATTAACCATGACATAGGGCATTATTAATTATATCATTTCAAAAAGTTGAAATATATTGATCCATAAGTGATTTATAAAGGAAGACTAAGAAATATTTCTAATGTTCAGGAGAAATTTTCAGAATATCTACCTGCTGATGAATTCTGACTCTGATGTTAAAACTTTACTTGGCCCTGTATACTTTATCTGTAAATCATAAAATAAGTAGTGGATAATGGTAGATTTGAACTTTCATCTGGTTCTATGAAGTTTACGTGTTTTTCTTTTTTAATAGTATTTTTGTGTTGTAATAAATATAATTTTGATAAAGATTTCAAACTTATTTACATGTTCTAAACATGACCTACTTATTTCTTAACGAGTAATTGAATTTTGGTTGTGACGTAATCGTGTCAACTGTTAAGTATTGAATGTGAAAAATGTCTTCTTTTCTGGTGTCTCAATTAATTCATTCAAAAAATTCAATAAAATCAGAGTTTTCACTGTCATATTCAATTGTTTACAGCTAGGGTTGAGTGCTTTCTAAAATGGGAACACATTCGCTAATTCTGTGTGCATATTGCCTTCGAAATAACCATCAAATGATGATAACAGGCTAGATACTTTTTCACATTTGATACTTAACAGTTGACATGACAAAGTGTGGGAACATTCTCTTCTGTTGTCTGCAATGATTTTTTGATTAATTGTTTGAACATAAACAACTTCTAACGAAGTTCCAGGATTTACTTTTCTCAGTAACATTTTAATTTTTCCTTTCTCTGGTACTACTGCCCTATTACATATTAGGGATGCCATTAAAATAGCCAGACCTAAGGGAGGGATAGTGATGGTTTCTCACATCCCAAACATTTGAAGGTTTTTAAATATAATTTTAAATTAGATAATCGTGTTTTGAATTGCTCCCATATTATGTGGATTATGATATATGTGAATATTGTAATATAAACTAATTTTGAAGTGTTTTTAAGAGTGTTTAATTCTCATTGTTTACTTACTATTAGTGTTTATAAATGGGATTTTTGCAAAATTATCTTCCTCCCTCCCTGAGATTTGCTGTGGTGAGGCTGTTCACTGTCCAAGCTACGAGCTTGGATTTACATGCAGTTTCATTGGCCCAATATGCCTTCTGTGCAATTGAACCTCTTGCTTGTGGGTTTGTCTAGTCTTCAATCTTGCCAAAATTATTACTCTTTTTTCCATCACATTTAATTGTTGATGCAATACATTTTTTCTATTAAAGTTTCATGGTCTTTTTGTATGATGCATATTTCACTTGTTAAAAATTATTAATTTCTGATTAGACTTTACAGTTTTGTAGTATTTGAAAATATTTGTAAAATGCTATATTAGCTACTGGTTTAACTACTTGTTTTAAAACTTAATCTGTATCATCTACTCTAGGAATGAACTATGGAACAGAATAACATTGTATTCCTGTAATTTTTAAAGGACATTCTTTACCCTGGTAATAACAGTAGTATAAGAAGTGAATGATCTGATGAAGTTAGCTGCAAGAATGCAGAATCTGATCTACTGTTATTAAAGAATTATGGATATTTTTTTGTGTTTACGAGCATACTAGTTACGTATTCCGTCCATTGATATTTTTAATGTAGAATGTACTTACTGATTATAAACAACATTTTTTTTTTTTTAAAAAACCAAAGTTTATTTTGTATCTCATGTTACTTTGAACTAAAACACTAATTTCAGCTTTTCATTTCTTTATTTATGAAGACTTAAGTGAGAACTAAATGAAATTTACAAGAAGAGATGATAAAGTTTAGGAAAATAAAGGTTGGAAATAATGGATGATTATGTGCTATGCTAAGTTAATTCTGGTGAGGAATTTTGCTGAAGCTAGAAGGAATATAAGTAGTAATCAGCAATATAAGTTTAAGTAATTTTGCAAGTAGTAAGACTTCTTATATTTTTGCATTCTCCAATACCCAGTATGCAAATTCTGACAAGTGTACTTTCATGATGATGAAGGTGATGAAAATATTAGAGATGAAATAGCAAATTTTGTTGTCTCTTTTTTGTTTTATTGTATTGTCTTTCGATATTAGTATTTCAAGAAAATTGCCAATTTATTGTTTACTTCATGATTTTGGATCTTATAATGTATGTGAATTATTACGCTGTGTGAACAAAAGAACAACCAGCAGGAGAATTTTTTTTCAGTCGTTCCTCACCCTTTTAAAATTTGGAAGAAAGCACCATCAGCTACATTGCAATTAATGAAAAACTTAAATTGTTTTATCATTCTTTGAATTTAAACATCAAGGTGGCACTTATTGTTCTGTAGCAAATTGAATATTGTTCTGAAGATAGGATGTAAAACAAAGTTGCTATTTTTCATAATGTGATATTTTTTAAATTAATAGTGAGATTCTAAGAACAATTTACACTGAAAGTGTAAAGCAATGTGTATACTAAAATGTAAGAATGAAGTACAATATGTGGTCAGAAGGATTACTATAACACCAGAATTGAAAATTGTGGAAAAACAGTTAATAAATTACTACAGACTTTCAGATTTAAGTTTTTTTTTATTGTACCTCCTGCAAGCTAAATGCTTTTCTCTTACCATTTCCAGTTTCCTTCTGTTTTCCGCCTTTAATATGGTGCCAAATTATATGAAAGTAATTGAAATAGAGTGAGAAATGTAATAACAAATATGACTGCTGTCAGGACCAGCCAGTTATATCTAACGAAATTAATTCTGCATTGATGCAGAATGAGGTTTATTCTAATTCACTTTTATTAAAGTAATTAGGCAACATGAAATAGGATTTTCTTTTGGTAATGGGTAGGGGGTCGATTTTGATGACCTAAAACATTGCCAAAAATCAATAAAATGCTCTTAAAATGTTTTTAAAATGAACTAAAAACAATAAAAATTATGTAAAAAAATTTGATCAAAACCATTTTAGATGAACAACTCAAGCTGTTGGATATGTTACTAATGTAATTGTGGATTCTTATTTATGTTGAGTGAAATCAGCTTGCAAACTTTTGGTTTGGAATGTTTTTTAAATGAAAATCTGTCTTTATTTATAGCGATATTGGCAGAACTGACAATGGCACCGATAAACATCACAAGAACCATAGATTACGTAACACTCACAATGGCTGAGATTACAATATATGAGCAAAGTAATCAAGTATGCTATTCAGAAATTGTGTGTGAACAATTGTTGCACCTTGTAAATATTGTTTGAAGTAAGTACCATTAAAATGATACTAAAATCGATGGAATAAAAAAAAAAAGCATTAAATATTATGTAAAACAGTAAAAAACGACTTATTGTTCGAAATCAATTAAAAATTCAAAAAAAAATTGGTCTTTTCGTTGTTTTGTTTTGAAGTGAAAAGAAAAAAAGAAAGACATATCATTAAAATCCGCTCCCTAGTAATGACCGATTGAAAATATTTTTATAAGAAAACAAAATTTTCAGTTCTTTTGTGTGTCCTTCCTATTACCAAACAAATAACTTCATTCAGTGTTACCTTATTATTTCAGAAAAACAAAACCAAAAACTTATCTGTTTATTAAAGCACACTATTGTTAAAATGAATTCAAATCTTTAAGGCACATGTTTAATTCGTTTTTAATTTCTACTTTAAAGTATGATAGAAAAGGTCAGGAAAGAACAACCAAAACATATTTAGCTGTAAACAACTCTGAAAAGAGATTACTACAATCATTTTTCTACATGATGCTTTCCCTTCAGTCACATTGAATTTCAGTCACATTCAGTCACATTTCTTTCTCAATTGCTTCAAAAATATATCCTTGTAACTTCAATATGAAGTTAACATGTCAATTATTCATGTTAGCAAAAGTTTATCATGATGTTAAATTTAGTAATAAAAACAACAACAAAAAAACATGGAGAAGCTGTGCTGGGTATAGCGATTGTTATTTTAAAACCATTATCAATCATTATCATTCTGCCACCAGGCAACGTACACCCAATCAGAACATATGCCCCATAGAATATCGTTTCTATCCGTCTATCTATTTGTTGTGATGCAAGGTTAATTTTACTCTTTACCACATTGCGGTCTCACAACAAACAAAAACTAAGGAAAATAGAAATAAAACAACTTCAAAACTCTAGGTGTTCCTTTTACAAGATGAAAGTATCAGAATCTTGTATGAAAGAAAAACTACAGAAGGTAGAGAAACAAAATATTGAGACATTTTGGAGCTTGATTAAACTATGATTGAAGCAGGAAAAGAGTGTATGGGTTATAAACCATTCAAGAAAACAAAATGGTTGAGAACATGGAACAATGATCTAAAAGAGATGATAAATCAAAAGAAGAAAGAATATAGAACCTACATCCAGAAATGAAAAGTGAAAAACTACACGGGATATAACAGATAACTGGCCAAAGTGAGATGTGTCAGTTGAATACAGAGCAGAGAGGACTAGAGAAAATTTATTAAAAGCATAGAAAGAGATGTACCAGGCTCTTAATAAATTCTCTTTTGAAATTGCTGCACATGAATGTGAAAGATAAAATCAGACTAGATGGCATACTAGAAGAAAATTGGATAAAACACTATTCCACCCTGTGGAACAATCCAACTCTCTAATGAAGTGCTGGAGGGAACAAGCCAAATCTCTCACACTGATGATCTAGACATATGAATATAGAAGAACTCAAGACAGTATTAAGAAATTAAAAAATATAGGAAAAGCCCCAGTCCAGATGAGGTCCACGTAGAACCCGTAAAATATGGAAAGAAATGTTATTAGAACTTTTTAACAAAGTATGGCAAGAGAAAACAATTCCATTAGAGTGGCAAGAGGGTTTGGTGAGTAACATTCACAAGAAGGGCTCAATGAAAATATGTAACAATTAGAGGGGCATTACATTACTATCAAAAGCTTCTAAGCGATATGCAAGTATGCTGAGGAACAGACTCAAAGAAATATGTGAAAATTTCATGGGAGAAGAGCAGTATAGATTCCGAAAGTGTAGCACTAAAAATGCCATCTTTACATTACAGATGTTCATAGACCAAAGGAGGGAAAGGAATCTACCTACTTTCATAAAATTTATTGATAATAAAAAGGCTTAAAACAAAGTTAATCTCAGAAAATTTGTGAAATACTCAACGAGGATCAGTAACTCAATACAAGACAAACTCTCTACAAGAACTCAAGAATTAAAATACTGTGAAGAGACGGGAAAAAAGTCAGCAGCAATAACAACCAACTGGGGCTTAAGATGAAGTGGATTATCACCCATCCTCTTCAACATATATATATATATTATGTTTACCACAGTGAGAAACTGGGGAAGGAAAGTTTGACAAGGAATACAGATCACAAAAGACAAGCTGTATGCTGATGACTAGGGAGCGGATTTCAATGAAATGTCATTTTTAACTTTTCACTTTAGAACCATGCCATTTAGTATACAATTAATTTTGTTATGAAGAAATGAAATGACCCATTTTTATATGTCATTTTTTTCTGAATTTTTCATCAATTTCAACTAATAAGTCATCTTTTACCTTTTTACATTATTTTTACTGCATTTTTTGCTGACTTAATCAATTTTAATATCATTTTGATGTTACTTGCTTCAAACAATATATACAGGATGCAACAAATGTTCACCACTGAATTCCTGAGTAGCCTATTTTATTTCTTTGATTGCAATGTCAGCCGTTGTGAGTACTATGGTATGTGACCATGGTTCCTGTGACGTTTCTCAGCGCCATTGCCAGTTTGGCCGATTTTGCAATAAATAAGAGCAGAGATTTTCTTTTAAAGAACAGTCCAAACCCAATGTTTGCACGCTGAGTTCACTTGAACAAAAGGAAGAAGCCTTGATTACATCAGTAACATATCCAAAAGCTTGAGTTGTTTATTTGAAGTGGTTTTGATCAAATTTTTTGTTGTTTTTAGGGCATTTTAAGGGCATTTTGTTGATCATTTTTGGAAATGTTTTAGGTCATCATCTGCTCCCCCTACTGATGACCAAACTATCATAATGGATTCTGAAGATAATTTACAAAGAGCAGTTTTTGAATCGACAAAAGTGAACCAAGAATATTCCATGAAGATAGCAGTTCGGAAAACAAACGTTATGGCAAGTAAATAAATTTTCATACCTTGAAAATATAAGTGTATACAACCAAATTCAGGAAGACATACAAAACAAACTTAATAACTACAGTAGAATATGTAGAACAATTAAGAGATACTTTGATCATAGACATGGACCTAGAAATAAAATTCCACAATAAAGCTACAAAACCTAGAAACATGTATGGCTCTGAAACATGGGTAATGAAAGAGAGAGAGAAACAAAAACTACAGGCAGCTCATATGAGGTTTCTAAGACACCTCATGGGATTCAAAAGGAGAGACAAACTAAGAAACTGAGAAACAGAAGCAGGAAAGCAGAAAGAAATTGAAAACTTAATGTTTAGTAGAAGTGATAGAACAGCTTCAAAGGAGATGGAAATATTATTTACAGTGTATGAACACCAACGGATTTCCAAAATTAATCTGGAAGTACAAACCAATGGGGATCAGAGATAGACACACCACTAAAGAGGTCGCAGCAGCAGGAACTCTTCTTCAACTTTTTCAACAAATTCAACTTTTATTAACACTTTAAATTGATTGGAAAGCTCTGATGTTTGCTCCTGAAGTAAAGGACATTATAATTTAAGTATTTAA